GTTCGATGTTGCATGTTAGCCCCAACTCGATATTCAAATAACATAGTCTCGTTTCTTTAAGAAATTTATAGATGAAAGAAAATATAAACAAGAAAAATTAGACAATTGTTTGAAGTTCCTTTAGTGTGTACGATATCATAGTTTCGCGCTAACAGACAAAACAACTGCAGAAAACTATTAAAAAATATTTATAGTTTAGTCTGGAATATATTTTGAAATGTGCTTCAATACAACATTTTGGACCTTCCCAACCAGTTGTTCGAGGGGTACTTCGAGTGCTCCGAAATTTGCTTTCGATGAGCCTTTGCCGAGGGCTCAAGTCCTCGGAAAATGGCACTTCGGACTCTTGATATAAACCTTCTTATATCTTATAGCCCTGATTATTACTGAATATTTCAGTCGTTTTCTTCAGACGACAACCCTACATAAAACATCTATCGAATGTAAGAATATCTAATTCGAAACATAAAGTTACAGAAGCAAATGCTATAATAACATGTTAGCAAATAGCACAATCAAAATAAATGACAGAAAACAAAGTAATCCAATAAAGAAATCGCTATGCGTTTTGCATATACGTATCTAAGATCCCAATAAATCAATTTACACTTGCCTGTAGCACTTTCAACAAATGTCCTTGTTCCGTCCGCTTTTTCATAAAAATTCACAAAATTCACTCACCCTGTATATCTTTCAAGAGCTACAAAATCCATTATATGTGATTTTTTCAAGAGGAAACAATCGTACTCCGTCACTCCGTGGAGTGCCGAAGTGGTCGGAGTGGATCGAAGTGGCTTGGTAACATGAATAAGTTTTCAATTTTTACAGTATGAAGAGCCAAATGGATTTTGACTGATTTCAGTACTTTAGGGTTTTGAACGACGTTTTGTCCGATGGCTAATTCGGAATAATTTTAAAAGTGCCGAAAATAGGGATTTCAGAAAACCAAAGTTTTTCACCCACCCATTTACATAAAATAATTTATTTTTGATTTTTTCTTTTGTGCGTCTGCTCAGGCCCGAATTACTTTTTATGTGGAAAGATAGAGAAGTGTTCGCACATCAAACGGAGACGGACCTTTCAGCAACATTTTTTCGCGAAACAGCATTCAATTTTTGTAAAAAGGCACGACGAAATGTCTTTCTCGTTCCACCGTTAATTTTGTTGGTATGCGACCTTTTGTAAATTGAGTGCTGATTCATGAAAAGGTATCCCACAGAGTGGGACGGCGTCTCGTTTTGTTCAGAAATGTGTGCTCTACACGATTGGATTATTTATAAAGAATTTCTGGGCCGTATATCGGAATTTGGTTTTCTGACATGTTAGTTTTCTAGAGATCCTGGCCTTAGAAATTTTGATAAAACCTTCACATACACCACATCGGCTTGGAAATTTGTTGGGCTATTTAAAGCTTTTTTCAGATTTTTTTCTGCCTGTTATTTAGAGGAGAAATAAATAAAACACATCGTTTCTATAATGTTGTCCAGTAATCCAGGTGAAAATGATGATATTTCTCTAGTATTTTGACAATTCCTATATGAGCATAGTTTCAGAAAGCTTATTTATAAGCTCATTTTGTAGTGTATGGAATTAGCTACCTGTTTGTATATGAGTTCTTGTCAAATGATTCTGAAATTATATGGAAACTTTGAGGAACAAAGTGGGCAACCATTGTTCAAGTGGTGACGAAAAATGAGAAGAAAGTTTATTTTCAAGGAGACTAGATCTTTTGAGTGTGTGCAGTGCTGGTAAGTAAAAACGTATTTGCCATCATTTTCACTCAAAATCATATTGAGCCATTTTCTTACAGAAACCGTTTCCCGTCCTTTCTTCATAAACAAACAGCGTGTTGATTGTTAACTAATAAAAATACTCGTTCATGATCGAACAGATTAACGCGAGTAGTATTACTAATTTTGAAATGAGTAAACGGGATTAAAAATGAAAAGCTTTTTTGTACATAATGGGAAAAACTTCAGGACAGTTGATGGGTAAGTGTGTTTTTAGTGTAATGTCGAAAGCATTTAGACATGATGGCGGAGCCTTAAAATTGAGTCGCGCTTCTAGTTTTGCTAGCTGAGCTTTTAGTTCATCACGTCTTTCTGTGAAGTCAAGTATCAGTCGAATATTCTCATCTTTGCCTTCCATTCAGGAGGATCGTCATCAAGAGACCACGGTGTTTTTTCAGTGCATGATGTATCCATGAGGATTTTTAAACAGAGCAATCGCCGATATATTACCATAAAGTAATTATTATAATATGTGATATGCATAAATTTCGCGATATCCTACTGGTTATCACGCTATTGATGAATACGGCGATAAGGTGCACTGGTTTTTTTATTGTGTTTTAACGCAATCTCAAGCCTATCGCGATATAAACACAAATTAACGTGATACTTTTAAAAAATATTTAAATACAGACAGGAAACACCATAACTAGATTAAAATAAAGCAGGAAAACGATAAAAAACGTAATTATTCTAATCATTTTTTAAGGATTAATTTTTTACTAATTTTTATTTTTTAAGTTCAAGTGTCTCTTCGTACACGCACCATGCTTTATTTTTCTTGTCTATTTCGACTGAAGAATGATGAATCATTGTCAAAAAGTTTTAACCGAGAGCTTTTTCACCAAAGTATAGGACTTTCCTTTTTTTAACAAGAAACAAGTCCACTAATAAACTCTCTTTTATTACTCGTTTTGTTGCCTTAGATTCAATCGCCAACACTTTTGGTTACAGATTTTTCTCTGGTTTACAGATTCCTCGACTAGTCTGATCAATATATCTTCCATTACAATCATAACAGTCATATCCATAGACCACTCTTTTTGAATCTTTATTTTTCTATCTAAATACTTACTTATCACATTACTTATTAACAAAGTCAAAAGAATCCTTCAAATAAGTATCAGCCTCTGACATTGCTGGTAATAATAAGTTGACCAAATATTTAGCCCTGTTGTGATTATAAGCACTATAACTAGAAATAATGGAACGAACAGGAAGATTACATAGTGCATCTCAGATAGGAAGTAAGCGTCTGGTTTACCTGATTATAATCACAACACAGCTAAATATTGCCAACATGGGTCCGATTTTCTACTTAATGCTTTTCGCTGTTTGGAAGGTTTGTCTCTGAGAACTTCATGAATGTCAATGGGGTGATGTCTCTTTTCCCCCCACACAAATTACACGAGTGTTTGTTTTTCTCCCAATGCATAGTAAGAAAAAAAAGGCAACCTCGAATGCAGTTGAGTCTAATTAGCTTAATGAGTTTAAACGATAATGAGCTCAAATCGTATGGTAGAGAGAGGAAGGCAACAAAATGAGGTATTTACTAACTAATTATCTCTAGAGCGTACTTAGCAGTCAATTATTATTAAAACTTTATGTATTTGAATCGAGTCTTGGGAAAGACAGACACTTTCATGGGGCTGTTCGCATTTCGGATCTGGTTAAAAATATCGTTCTTGTTTTAGAATAAATCTATTAATATATATACATTAACAGATTTACTCAGAAACAAGAACGGTTTACATAAGCTTCCACATCTTCAAACAACTAACATAAAAAACTATGTTTTCTAGTTAATGAAAAACAAAATTTCTCAAGAACTAAAACGAGCTGAAAAACAGGAATGAATGAAAAACTCTTTTTTTTTTTTAAAAAACAGAAATTCACTTCTTCAGGTTTCAAAGAATTCACCGGAGTTCTTCAACGAATTTTACCAATATACCGACTAGTCTGACCAATATACCTTCCATCACAGTCATAACAGTCATATCCATAGACCACTCTTTTTGAATCTTTATTTTTCTATCTAAATACTTACTTATCACATTACTTATTAACAAAGTCAAAAGAATCCTTCAAATATGTATCAGCCTCTGACATTGCTGGTAATAATAAGTTGACCAAATATTTAGCCATGTTGTGAATGAACATAACCATAAACTGACTCTTTTTATCCCACATAACTCTATGTGTATTTCATAGGTTAATAAAGGAATAATGTTTTGAAACATAACGGTTAAGTATCTTTGAAGAAGTAATCAGATCAATTAGAAAAGAGAACAGATAAATATCTTGCGGTCGGTATAGCGTTCTATTATCGATAATCGTTCTACGAGAATATTTTCGATACATTTATCGCGATAAGTGCTTGCTTTATTGAGGCCGCCACGGACTTTTTGCAGTTACCGCCATAATTACTCTATCGTGACAAAATAGCCCATTACCTCGATACGAATTGTTTATCAATAACTCGCGATAATAAAGTTATGGCAATAAAAAGGTTACTTTGTCCGATAAATTATTTATCTCGATAACTGCAAAAACTCTGTGACGGCCTCGATGAAACAAGCACTTATCGCGATAAATGTATCGAAAATGCCCTCATGAGTATTCTTTACTCTGGTTTTAGATTATTGTTCGCAAATCTATTCGGTTTCCTTCTTTCTTCTCTATTAGCTGCTGCTTTTGAAATAGTGATTGAAACCATTGAAAATCGTATTTATTAAATACTTGAGCAATAAATGGTTAAAAGAATTTTGAAAAACGGACATTCAGATCAGAGATCGTCGTGGAACGAGAATTCTATGGGGTACAATGGGATGAGACGAAAATTTTCAAATTATCCATGAAAGGGATAGGCCAGGATGAGCTAGCTGTAAGACGCTGCGGGATAGAGTGCAAGTTTTCAGACTGTGTACGAGATGGGACTAAAATTTAACCCCATCGAATTTCGGTAAAACAACTGATTCTTTGCTGTGAATGTCTTTTATTGTTTTCTAATTTATTATTATTTTTACTTTTTTTGTTAGTGGGTAGTGTATCGTTCTCCTAAGCAGATCTTGTGACGCCTGAACATAATATAATGTAATGTGGAAAAGCAGATTTTAACAGTATCATATGTCGTAAATTTTATGAGACTAGTAATAATACATTTGAGTGTTGTATGCTGTTTCGTCATGTAAATATTATTTACAGTTTACGTTATACTGGTAAATCAATATTTGCATAGGATTGTGCAAGTGGATAACAAGATAATGTGCTTTTCCATTTTGGAATATTCTCTAACCATACGGTCTAAAAATAAATGAAGAATTCAATTAGAATAATCAAATGATGAAAAAAGTCAAAACATGAGCATGAAGGGTTTTCTTTTTTGACTTTTCCTGCTGCTAATTGGTCCGGACTAATCGAGTTCCATAGAGGAAAACCAAAAGTTTTCTATGCAATCATGTTTTCGTGTTTTTCACCAGAAAATTTCAATTCGTTCTTCGAAATAACCGCCAAAAACTGTGTGAGAGCATGTAGTTTTTGGATAACTTCATTTTTTAGTGCAATTATCAGTTTTTCTGTTCAGAAAATCTCGAACAGATTCTAATCACATATGTTAACATGGAAGTACTAGATAAAAATTCCCGATTTCTAGTATATGTCTGCTAATTTTGAGATAATAAGTAAATACAGTTAAAACTAAAATTATTTACTTCAGGCAACGTTAATTGTTTTTCATTTTTCATTATATTTTCAATCATTATTTCATTTGTTGATTCAGTTTGATTCATTGGTGCGTCCAATGCTTTAGCAATTGGTAAATTACAAATAACTGGTTCTACTGTTAATTTTTCAATGGGTGTAGCAATTGTTTTTGATGTGATACTTAGTTGTCGTTGTAATGTTCGAATTCTAGTTCCATCGTCTTTCGACATTGGTGTTGATGGTGTTATTGGTGGTGACATGATACTTTGTTGTCGTTGTAATGTTCGAATTCTTGTTCCATCGTCTTTTGATATTGGTGTTGAGGGTGTTATTGGTGGTGATATGATATTTTGTTGTCGCTGTAATGTTCGAATTATTTTTGCATCACCATTCGACATTGGTGTTGATGCTATGATTGATGGTGATGTGAGTACAGGAGTCGGAGTCGTTGGCTCTTGGATTATTTCGGCGGCGACTAATGGCGATGGTACTACATGTACAGCTAATTTACGACGATGAACGGAATTTGGTGCTATATAATGATCATAAAATTTTAATAAATCTTGACGCTCTAATGTGGCTATGATGTCTGTTTGTAACTGTGAACGATTAAAGCAATATTGATGTTTGACTATTTCATTAAACCATAGTATACCTTGTTCGGACATACTTTTTGATATTTCAAGTTTTTTTATTATATAACCTTCACGTTGTTTACAATAAATATCGTCGGACATTGTGGTTATATATTCCTGAAAGCATGATGATGATCAGAACAGAAAGTATCAAACATATGATGGCTATGCAATTTATTTATATGATATTGACAGAATACATACTCTTATTGAATCAATATACGTCTCAATTCTTAAATTAACATAATCTAATTTCAACGATGATTGTATTGTAATATAAAAACCTTGAGAATTACCAGAATCAGATCGCTCATAACCACTGAACACAACATAACCTAATTGTTCTTTTGTACGTAATTGATCACCACATGACTCTTTGACCAAATGACAAAATAATTCCATTATTGCATTATTTTTTAATGTTTGTTCAAAACATTGTAAATATATTTCAATAGCACAGATTTGATGCGCATCATTCGTCTGTTTATAGGCATAATTGCATCCTTTAATAAAAAGAAATGGGACATGAACTGTTTTGAAATATAAGAAACTCATTCCCGGTAACCAGTTTTTGATGTAAATTAAAGGGTTCTGTTTTTACAGCTCTAAGGGAAAAAAAGTCTCCTAGAATAATTGACTGCAAATGGTGTATCTTATCAATTTCCTGTCGTCCAAACATTTTTTTCATTATTAATTTTATTCTATTTTCACGCATACTAAAAGTGTTCTCTCTATATTTCTATTCAAAGCTCATTTTTCTTCATAATACTGCTGTACAGTGAGATCTTTATAAAACCAACAGAACACGTCTAGAATAGCTCAAATGTATAGTTAAGAGTCATTGCATGGTAGAGATATTATATGTATATATTTTGAAGATCGATTTCCCCGTCTGATAGCTCTGGACATTTTGGCGCTCATATGCCAGCGATCAGTATTCATGTCAGGCTGTCAAACTGATTAGAACACACCAAGACCATAAAGCATATTTTCTACAAGTGTGCCTAAAATATATGACTGGCCAACAACGCCCACAATCGGTCGAAAAATTTCTGACTGAAAATATATGACCAGTCAGTCACATATTTTCCTAGTGTGTAAGTGTACAAGCTAAAAGCTTTTCCAGAAGCCTTAGCACTCCTAACGATAGAAGAGTGCTAAGGCTTCTGGAAAAACGTTCATAGCTCCCGAACCATGGATTTTCAAGATGTAAGCTTTCGAATTTATAGCAGATTCAACTTCGGTTTTGCTGTTTACTCGACCTCAAGTATTCATACTCAAATGTGAACTATTGATCTACTTCCTAGACCAAGATATAAATAAAAGAAATTTCACTTTTATATGGTTATCGTTTCAGCCTGTTTTTAGGGAATTTACGAAAAAGTAAATTCCGCCGGGAAACTTTTGGGGATCTTCCTAATATGTCGCTGCTATCTACTGTGCAAGTATGAACAAAAAACTCAGACATTGATTGAGCAACTTAGGTCGTCCCTAACGTGAAGTGGCTCTTAAAACTAATCCTTTCACTGATTTTCGTTCGATAAAAAGTGTAAAAAAACGGTCAAGCTTACATATGTTTTTCTTGAAATCTTTGAATGCTCCTACAAACTTTTTTCATCTTTTTATTTTCATTCGAATTGATAGTAAAGCAGCTTAGAGTGTATTCTGAACGCTTGAGTTATTTTGGACACAATCTGAAGTGATTTTTGATGAAAACTATATGTTTCGTGGTCGTCCCTTAAGGTGTTAATTGAACAACAAATATTGCAACAACGCTCAGCGTTGTCGCTTAGATGCGTCTAGTCGCGTTTTGCGGTTACCAAAGATAAAGTGTATTGATGGATAGACTCAAGTAGCAAAAGTCTAATATCTCAACCATAAGCGCTAACTGCCTGGGGTTTGCGTAAATCGATAGTTGTTAGGTTACACACACTCCCAATTAGGGCCGTAAATTGCGGAGTGGGTGGGGGCTGGGGTGGGGTGTACATCCACTCCCAAAATAAAAATTTGTCTTTTCCTCCCAGTGGAAATTAAAATTTGTTTTCGTTAGTTTTGGTCGCACAGTGAAAAATTTTTTCTTACACTCCCCAAAAAGTTTTTCGCGCGCGAAGCTTTAAAAGTCGTTTACATCCGCCAAAGTTGATTTCCTATTTACGGCCCTGCTCCCAATAGGAAAATTAACATACCTTCAGGTAAAATTAAAGAACGATGGTTCACCAACATTGTCGGAAATAATGGCTGGTAATATTGTTTATTGTGGAATTGTTGTTGTATATTTGTCATATAATCAAGTGCTTGCTAAATAAATTTTAGTAAAAAAACAAGAAAAGGAAACGGAAGACAATTTACCAGAGTCTCTCTTTATTCGTTAAGATAAAATAGATTCCTGATAATCAAGAACTGAAGAGAATATCTTTTTATTTGTTTATTTATTTATTTAGTTGTAGAATTATGCTAGTCATTTACTTTTCCTTTCGCCTTATTGAAATTGTGTTCTTTTTTTCGCTCTCCTTTTGTTGTATCTATCTTTTTTGCTATTCTTCATTAGCTAGACAGGACGATAATGGGGCTCTTTTGACTTGTCTCAGTTATAACTACTTATTTTATAAATTTTATTTATAGAACAAAAAAGTAACACATTAAAGTCAACATCCTATGACTCTTACACGCAAATATGGGATATATATTTCAGCAAATCATGCATACCTCTTTTGTTAAATTACCATACATTAGCGCTTCAATATAAAATCGACTTAACATCCGTGGTATGAATAGTTCTAAATCATGTACTGTTATACCTAATTAAAAAAAAGAAAAATCTAAACACACGTTTTTTCAAGGAGATCTGCAAGCAGCATAGAAATGATCAAAACATTTAGTAGTTGAGAGACAAAAAAAGAAACGTTTGCTGTTATTTGCACATTATGTTTTTTTATTTTCTCATTAACTAGATTAAGAGGGTTGATGTTTACATCTTTGCTCTGTTTGGGCTTTCTGAATTTTTCTTGAAAGTTTCAACCCACTTTATCCTAACGTACTTACCAGAGAACGAACCCAAGTGCCCCAGAGCTGTTTAAACACACACAGGCATATATATTGATGATGCTGATTCCGCAGAGGATAATAAGAGATGCTCATGGATCTTTTTTGAGCTGTAAAACCGGGTCTGGAAAAATCCGTACATCACTCCGTACATGATATTCGGAATCAGCATCATCGATAATCTGAGCTTATGTGTCTCTGGATGAATTTTCTTTTAAAAAGTAATTTAATGTTAAAACACTGAGTCTACTTGAGAAGCTAAGTGCATTCTTTAGATCACTACGATTTTTGAACTATTTAAGAGAATTAACATGTTAGAAAAGAAAAAGTCCTTTCCTGAACTTTATGACTTTGCGAGTACAATCTTTTTGTTGTCGTCCTCTGAACGAATTGGCGATGTTTTCTGTATCAGATACTTAGAGTGATAGCAAAAATAACGTGGGCAGAAAACATCGGAAAAAATCGGCTTGTTAGGATGAATTTTACTTTCTACACTGTCTTCATTCTTGGGATCATAAAATATTCTGAAATTTAAACCGTTTAAAAGGTAATATATATAAAACGCGTTTTTTAGCCATTTGAACGATCAGAGCTGGGCAAAATGCTCGAAGTACTCGTACTCGAAGGGTTGGTACTCGTACTCGAGGGGCTGATACTAGTACTCGTACTTGTACTCGAGGTGGTCAGTACGCGATAATCTAATATTTGAAATTCCAGATGAAGTGTGTGTTATTTATGCGAAGAAAGTCGTGAAGAAGATTTACTTTTTTCTACAAGACAAATCTATCCAGGATTTATATCAACTTCCTCTAAAATATCTAACAGTGCCTGCGATATCGGCTTCTATCGAACTACTAACTTTTCTACAACGTAGCAAAGTTTTACTTTGATTCCATTTACTTGAAGGTTGATAATACAATAAATTAAAAAAATGTTTTACCATTTCGCTTTGTCAATATTTTGTTCTGATATATATCAAATAATAAGAGACTAATTAAGAGAATAACTAAAGAGCTATAGGACTTTTTTTCCTACAAATTATTTTAGACATTCATAGTCATACCTGATTCAATGGTATCTGTATTTAAAAAATTGGTGCTTGTACTTGTACTCATCTCGTACTCGAAGGCTCGGTACTCGTACTCAAAGCCTTGGTACTCGTACTCGACTCGTACCTGAGAAATCCCGTACTTGCCCAGCTCTGTGAACGATATACGAAACGCATTTCAACTATCGATAAAACGCGTTTCTATTATTTCGTTGTTTACATGCGTTTGGACACCGTTTCAAACGAAAAAAACCTCATGGACAGTATATAAAACACCTTTTACTTACCATCAATACAACTTAACAATTCTTCCCTAGCCCAAACATGTTCAGTTATTAAGTATTGAACATCAACTTGTTCATAGGGTACTCGACACTGAAGATTTTGTAAGGATTGTCTAACCTGTTTGAAAATGAAAGTAGTGGTTATTTAAAAACCCAAAAATATCTCTTAGAATTGAAACAATAAAATAGATAGATTTACCAATTCTTTATATGTATCAAATTGTTGTTGATTTATTTGTATATTTATCATTTTATCAATAATTTTATTTAATAATGTTGATAATTTCTGATTATAACCGCAAACGATCAACTGAAAACAAAATACATAAGGTAAGACGAATGTAATTTAAAATTGTGATCGAGATGGCTGATAAGTAAAAAATAATAAAACATCATCAGTTTGAAAACTTTGGAAAAAGATAATATAGAAAATTTGATTTCTGGTTATCTTCTTTACTAGGAGTGTATTTATTGGTGTGCCGTAGCTATTTGGTAAAAATAGTTTCAAATGCATCCAGTGCAAGGGAGGAAAAGCGGATTTTAGATATTTTTGGAACTTCCAGACATACACAAATGTAGAAAAACTCTGAGCTCCTCTGAGAAGCTAAATAAACTAGTGAAGTCCACGGGAGCACAACAAAATCCGAAAACAATCCAAGAAACCTCGATAGAATGAAAGAAACATCTGTAAAAATCCTTGAAACTGGAACTTATCGAAAAAGATTCAGAAAGACTCAGAAAAATGTCAAAAGTTTCGCGAAGTTGAGTAGAACACCATGAAGTCCACGAAAATCCAACAAAATTTGGAAATTGTCGGTATCATATGTATCGAGCTCAAAATTAAACTAATACGAAAATTCACTTTTTCAACTTGATCCAATGGGATCAGAAATGGTTTCGTTTGTTCAATTCATCATTTTTTTTAATGAATTTCAAAAATAATCTTACTTGAATGCCATCTGCTGATGGTGATAAATCATATGCTAAACCGCCCTTCTTTGCTAGATAAAGAGATTCATTTAATGATTCGTCAACTAATAAACAATACATTAGATTCATATTTTCATGAATTGGATCAAAATCTGCTAATGGGCTAGAACAAAACTGTCAAAATTAATTTCAGAAAGACATAATACCAAAACTCACAAACCAAAAGATGATGTTTGTGAAATGGATGTCGAGTTGATTTTTTTCACCGTTTCCATGGGGAAAAAAATGCCTATTAACTTATTTGAATCGAGTTTAATTCGCTAAGAAGAACAAGTCAAGTCAGACTTGACTTGGACTTGAGGCATTTCTGACTTGATTTACCCAGCATATGTCTCTCGAAGAAAAATAATTTCTTTATCGAGAGGAAAAAAGTAATCACAATCAAACAACTTTAGGTATGCGGCATATCTGTATCAGATGTGCTTTACATACTTTCGAAAATCAAAACATAAAAATGCTTTTGGTAATTTATAAAAATTATCTTGTGTAAACCATAAACGATAAAATTCATTTTCCTAAAATAATATTTAATCAAATAACAATTATGTAACTTATATTCCTCTAATAGCTAAAGACAATTTCACAACTAACTTTGATGTTCTTTGGTATTAACGGTTTCAAGTCCTAGAAAGATAAACAAGAGTTGGTTCTTACGTTCATCGAACGGATTGTACATCTAAATTTCGACGAAGATCTGTTTTCAGGTGCCCTCCTCTGATTCCAATGATCATTTTCCGAAATAAGCCAAGTAGCATTTGAGTTCTTGTTGTTTCGTCTGAAAGTTATGCAATTTTTTTTGTATTTCCCCTATTGAACCATGCGACAATTCAAAATTTTATATCCCAGTGTAAATACGACGTAAAGGCTGACATTTTTTTTGTAAATCCTTCAATAGTCTACAAACAACTCTGAAAATTTCCGCTTTTCAAAACATTCCGTTCCACAGTTATTGAATTTTTAAATCATCATTGAACCGTCTTACGGTGCAAACGCTAGAAAATCGTTATTTCCACACCAAATTGAATAAAACTTCTATTAAATCGCTACTAGAATTCTGTTAGTGGTTTTTAACAGAATAAAAGACGAAAAGTCGGCTCGGCTCAAAAGCGAATTACAAGCTTCTGAGTTTCCAGAGACCACTTCGGAAACCTTGGTTTTAAAACATCAAAATCAGGAAATTTCAATTACTAGTACAAACAAAGTTCATCCTTTTACATCGCATTTACATTTAGATATGAAATTTTGCATTGTCCCATGGTTCAACAGGACAAATACAAAAAAAATTGCAAAACTTTCGGAAGAATCAACAAGTACTCAAATCCTTAGAATATCTGAAAAACGTGAGAACACCCACTACACCCCCAAATCCTCGAAGTTAAAATGCGAAACAGCTAATCGATAGAGCTCGTCGAGTTAACGATTCTAACAATCACTAACACTCAAAACAACCATTAACAGCTGAGTCTTTTAGCCATTTTTACAAACAAACATCCACTATGACCCAGAAAAGGCGATGCTAATATCACGAAAAGTATGCCAAGTTGATCTACATAATTCTCTGTTCCTGTTGGTGCGACTTTTCGATCGAAGAAAACGACTTAGTGGTTTTTGAAAAACGTAATAAAGAAGTTATAAAAAGATCATTAGGAAGCCCATGAAATTCTCTACAATAGCTACTTAGCTTTTTTTACAAAAGTTATTTATTACATTTTTTATTCGATTTCACTATCCATTATGCGTCCTTACAATGGTCTCGGATATTTTTCAAATAGCTTTTCACAGAATTGAGCACCTTCCCAAGTTCAGGTTTCGTTCAGAACTGATGAACTGTTCTAAACGCTATATTCAGCGAACTGAACTGGTCGAACAGTTCTTTCTGAACGAGCTGAACTGGTCGAACAGTTCTTCTGAGCGAACTGAACGTCGTCGTTCAGCTGCTACACTGACATAGTCACACAGTGACTATACGGTATCGTACTAATGCAAATATTTTTCAAAGAAACTTCTTAGTTGCTTTTAAAAAAATCACTAAAAATGATATCGTTTCGGATAGAAAGAAAAGCTCTTATTTGATGACATTGTGATTTGGCTGAAGAGTTTTGCAATAACACCAACAAACATTTCATATATTCACAATAACTTTCATAATATTAAATTTCATTTATTTGTGAATTCAAATAAATAAAAGACTTAAGTAGGTTAGATAATGTTTTCGGCATCTTCATAGTTCTGTGATCATCCTCAAAAAGTCCTTTAACCTCATCCACCGGATAAGTTAAAGGACTCCTAGATATACTGTATGAACAGGCATTGACAGGTCATGGTTGTCCCTATGAATAGACCTTGAGAAGTTTTAACTACGTCCTGTGGATAGATCTTGATATATTAGGCCAAATTACAGATCTTCCAAAGTCGACGTTCAGTTCGCTCAAAAGAACTGTTCGACCAGTTCAGCTCGTTCAAAACGAACTGTTCGAAAAGTTCAGTTCGCTCGAAAAGAACTTTTGAACAGTTCTTTCGCTCATTTGAACGGAGTTCGTAAACGTGAACTGGTGAACCCCTACATATAATGTTGATCACGCCGAAAAAGTGATCCAGCAGAACACTGAGGCTTTGAGCTTTTTCAGAAGGCTTCTGGAAAACCTTAAACCAATGCCCAGCTGAAAGTTACTTTTTTCATCTTCGATGATTATTTATGAGCTGTCCTGACCGTTTCCTGAAAGGTTCCTTGCATAATTTAGTAAAAATTACTATATTAACGGGCGAAAAACAGGTTTTTCATAAAAATGCCACTGGCGAAGTTATTTTTATTTCTGCACAAAAACAAATGTTGCCACTATGCTCAGCGTAGTCGATTACCTTCATTTCATAGCATTTCGGCATTCCCAGAGATGTCTGCTTGGAGATAGACAAGTGCTCGGGGATAGCGAGGCTTGTCCAAATGACGATAGTCTGGGACTTGCATACTTTTGTACAGTAACGTCCGGACTACCTATGCATGCAAAAAAATTACTAATATTGTATGTTAGCGTTCTGAGAACGAAGCTGGTTTTCTAAAAGTCCTCTGGAAAATCGGACTTCCAGAAAATTATGAAACAAGTTTCTGCTTCCGAAAACATGTCTTTGTCTTGGCTATTCAATAGTGAAAACCGCAAGTCTCTATCTCAATTCTGTGAAAAGTTATTTGAAAAATATCCAAGACCAATGTAAGAACGCATAGTGGATTGCGTCCTTCTGCAAATGGAACACATGAATTAGTAAGAGACCAACTTTTATGCACAATATGTGTGATTTTATTATGGCTTTTATAAAAGAAATTCAGAAATCATCCAGTCGTTATCTTCGTTCAAAAATCGTACCAACAGGATCAGAGAGTCATGTAGATCAACTTGGCATACTTTTCGTGATATTAGCATCGCTTTTTCTGGGTCATAGTGGATGTTAATGGATGTTTATTTGTGTTAGTGGGCGTTCTTATATTTTACAAATATCCAATGCTTCAGGTCTTATGCTTTTTACTGGGACACTAGTCTATCTGTCGGCAAATGATTATTGGAATTGGAGGGGCCATCTGAAGATGTTTCCTCGCAAGTAGCCTCGAAAGACGGTCTCTTGGATGCTTACGCAATTTTGTTGTTGTGATTGATAATATAAATGAAAATCTGTTGGTACAAAATTATTAATTTGTGGAAATTGTAATTCATTATTTAATTCATATGTTTCACATTTCTAACAAATGACCAACAGACTAGACTAACAGCTTTAATAGAAATATAAACGTAGGAACCAACCTGAATTAATTTATCTGATAAACGTTCGAGTTTATATTGTGTTCCGAACCATTTTTCTTTTTCCGTTGTTATTGATGAAAAATCTTGAGCAATTAGAAATATTCTGAACAACACAAAGAGAAGAGATAAAGGAGTCTTTTTTTCGGAAATAATTGAAAGTTACTGGCAGACAGACCTCATTTTACTTGGCAGCAAATAATTATCCAATAAATCGTTGATCAAATCTGGACAAAATTCTCTCATTTCATAATCGCCACTTAAACATTCGTCCAATGGATAATCCTAAGATAGACAAAGAATAATATTGTCTTCTTTTATTGGCTAAACTTCCATTCAAAAAATACGTATGTAATGAAGATAAAAAGATACTTTCTAGTGGTGTCAAGGGCATTTCCTCTCATTTTCTCTACCGCTAAAAATTCAAAATAAAAAGAAGAAAATTCTTCATTCAGCTTGCGACATGTTTTTCTGCTTCAGAATGATATTTAACACAGATTTTCAACAATGTTCGCCTACTGGGTTATAATGATTTTAAAATTTGCAACTTGTTAAATGTTTTTTAAATGATATTTTTCTTTTCACTTTTCTTTCAGACTAAGCCACAAACGAATTTTCGAAGGCAGATTCGAGCTCACGAGGGAACGCCCCCAAGTATCTAATCGCTTTTTCCTTCAAACATGCACTATTGTGAGTAGTCTTTGATGCTGATCTCGAATCTGATATTCGTTTCTGCTGCTAGGCCTTTCTGGGATACGTCTCTGACCGGATGTTCGAAGATCCGCTATGAACTTCCAGCTGAATATATTTTGGCACTGTCAGATTATAGAGCACGTTGAATTATCTATGTCGAAAAATCTCCACAACCAATGAGCAAGTTTTCGCAGAGATAGAAAAATTTTAGGGTTCAAAAACTTGCAATAGTTTAGTTGCCTACTGGATTAGAAAGTGAAATTTGTCTGTCTCTGCGAAAACTTGTCCGTTGGCTCTGAGCGTTTTCCCGCATGGGTAATTCAACGTACCCTACAATGTGCCATTGCCATTCGGCTGAAAGTTCATAGCGGGTCCTCGGACACCCGGATTTTAGAGACCCACCCCAAAGAGGCCTAGAAGCAGAAACGGATATTAGGTTCGTCATCGGCGTCAAAGATTATCCACAATCGTGCATGTTGTAAGGAAAAAGCGATCGGACACTTGGGGGATTCTCTCTTGGGGGAACAACTCGTACTGGTGAAAACGGTGCTACCATTTTCCTGTATTGCATAGTCTATATAACAAGAAATAAAACATTTTGGCATTTTTTTTCTTGAAAATCATTAAGATCTGTTTGTGTCGGACTACGATAGACTTTTTTTAAAGTATAATATCTGACAACCTCAAAAGTTTGTTTTTTGATAGTCCATGGTGAATAGTCGACAAAAACTAAAATATCATTTTCATACGTACTCGCATACTAGAAGCTAAATGTTGGACCAATTCAAGTGGTTGATCTTTTTCATCAAACTGAAACTTCATTGCTGCTAAAGTCTGCAAAAAAATTAAAATCAATGAATATAATCAAACTAACGATAGCTAGCTAACTTAGCTATAAGTCATATACTTTTCTTTCTTGAAATATCCATTCTTTTGGCGCTTCTTGTTTAAGCATAGATATATATTGATATATGTGTAGTATAACTTCTTTCCATCGTTCTAGAAAATAACTAGCATTTAACACTGGTTGTTCTTCTTATCTTATTTAGTTTAAGTGTGATATTACCTAATCCTTCAGGTGTCAACTGAATGACAATTTCAAAAAAACTAAAACCCCGTGCACTGCTTTGTCCTTCTGACACGTTTAAATGTGTTATTAAACCTAATTTTTTTAAATATGATAATACGGAGCCTTCACCTTCATAACCAATTATGTAAGTTAGATAGGTTATTGGCTATAACATAAACAAATAAACGAATACAAAATCATATGATAGCAATATCACAGTCGAGGAAGAAGCAAACGCGTAAGACTCGTCGCATGTCAAGATACGACAAAAAAACAATTGATATGATAAGTCAAGTTATAAATATGATTCACTTACTTCAGCATAATAAATATCACGATAATCCGGTACGACCCAAGACATTTTTAGTAGACGACAGTCGTTGACAGGTAATACATAACATATAGTCTGGAACATAGAAATGGAAATAAAAACCACTGTCTGTCCAAAAGAAGAATGCACTTTGCTATTTTTTGAATTTCCCAGCAAAGAAAGGAACTAGAGACTTGGAGTTTTCAGTGAAAATCTACCGTTATCAAAAAGTCCAAAGTTACACCCCTCTCTAGTGAATGTGCTTGAACATAGGTACCCGAGATAGGTATCCTGCTACAAGAATGTCATAGGTGCTTGCAAGTAAACTGTTACTTAAAAAGCGGGTACTTAAACGGTCAGCCATTTTGGGTGATTGTGTAAAAGATAAAAACTCACGTTATACTTGTTAACGTATATTTTTCTTTTATATATGTCTGAACGCAAAACAAAAGGGAGAATGACAAAAAGATTTGGTATCTATATTGCCTTCATCTCAAGTAATTTGGTATCTCTCCACTAACATTTACTTGAAAAAAACTCAAGCTCTTATGACATTCATGTAGCACTACATAGGTAACTAAGAAAAATACAAGTACTTGGGTACCTTCAGAGAGCGTTATCCTGGAAAACCAGTTTTTCAGAAACTCTAAAAAGTAACCAAAACCTTTCTTAATGAGGCGTAATTGTAGCCCGCAAATTTGTGATGAAAATGAGTACCTATCATCAAGTAGATTTACTAGGGCTTTTTTAAGCTGCTAAAATTTTTTTTCGAGATTCATTCGGATCGAGTCGGGTTCTTAAATTTTTCGTTTATTCTACGACTGTATCTGATGGGATCAGACTGCTATATTGCATCGCCATTATTCCTTAGCTAGCATTGACTCCAGGTCGGAATATATGGATAGTTTCATTGACCCAATTTGGTCTCTGGTTTTCACCAGAGATCGAAACGTCGGATTGATTCGCGGATCGCGTTTGGGTCAATGTAAAAAATATTGATTCGGATCGGATCACAGGAAAAAAAATTCGGGTTTTATTCGGATCTTGCCATTAGAAAACAAATCAAGAGATTTTCTTCAATTACTCATCTATTTTTCAACATGTGTCTTTTTAATCGGAAAAAGAAGTACAGTGTTTTTTCCTTCCTGTTTTGACGCTGCGTAATGTACACTGTATACTGTACAGTGTCGCACTGCAGAAGCAAAGAAGAGAATTAAAAAAAAACATAAGTAAATCCCAAAAAATGAACGACTTAAATATGCGTCGCATTATAATGATCAAACTTCATGACAATATACGATCGAGAAAAACGATTTCCTGTTTGGGGTTATCACAGTCTGAATGAACCATCACTTGGACAAATGTTTTAGGTTATTACAAAAGCTACAGACTTCTGCTCTTTTTCCAGAAAAACTTGTCAGACCATACAAGAAAAATTCGGGTCAAGTTTCGAAAAGTTTTTGGGTCGAGTCGGATACGGTCGAAAAGCCTTCGAGTACGGTCGGGTTTGGGTCTTCCACCTAAAAGTCGTTTCTATCTGTGCTTTTCACCATTCGAGAGACAATAACTTACTGCATCTTTATTTAATACAAAGATTTTCAAAAAATTTTGTCCCAAAATTGGTTTTTTTAGCGGATCTCTAGAAAACTTGTGTTTTGAGGTCGGATTTTTTAATATAGACAAATCGATTTTTTGTGTCAATGGATAGGCTAAAGTGTCTACTACACAATAGAACTTAAGCATGAATCCTTCATTTTCAATGATTTATCTTCGAGCATAGTTTTGATGGGATTTTTCTACTCGACGCCTTAGTTCCCTAAATAAACTCAAAACACACATATGTAATTGATCGTGCTGGATAAATTTTAACCTAAATCCTATCTAAAAAATCGCGTTTATAGAAACTTACACTACTCAAAAACTTCACAGCAGCAATATTTGAACTGACAGTTGAATAAAATAAATAGTTACTTTTCTCTTTTCTTCTCCAAATGGATCATTTGGATAGTTCTGAATCGATAAATTTTTATTTGGTATATCTTTAAAAATATTAACGACAGTTGACTGCAAATCATCCAACGATTCTAAACGAACAAACGAATAAAAACATAAATTTTTGTAATTAAATAACGGACAAAAGATTTGAAATATCAACCTTTTACATTTTGATAGATAAAAATATAGAAACTGACTACATGCACTTACGATTTCCTACAACAGCTAAACTCATTCTATTCGCTGAATATTCCGTTTGATGAAATTTTAATAATAATTGGCGTACATCAATATTCAGTTGTTTCGGTATCAATTTTAACGTTTCGATAGTACCTGTAAAACAAAACAAAAACAATATTTCCGTATCATTTATACGAAACTTCTGTAAAAAATAAACATAATTGAAAAAGAGACGTGCCAGTTTATATAGGCGTTATGTGTCAGGAATACAGCGAAAATTGACCTATCCCTGCTTCTCCAAAAAAGATCGGACGACGTCAGAAACGTTACATCTTAGTCAATGGTGCGGTGAACTGCTGCAAAGGTACAAAAAACAAGCTTGTTTTCAAAAAGTCCGTTTTTGTCCAAAAAACAGTTTCAGTTTTAGCCGTAAAACTATGTTTTTTCTCAAAAGTACATGAAAGAAGCGTTTCTGATATGAGAACGTCTAGCGGACGTAGCCGTAGAAAATTTTGACAGTTTTCATTTTTAACGAATTTCACCTTTGGACCCGTGATAGACCTACGCTTACAACAAGTTTCCACGTACCAATATTAAATTTTGAGTGTGGATGTTTTGAATCGGACGTTGATTTAAATAATTGTAGTATACGCCAACCATCGTCAGCTACATAACCTTCATATTCACTATTAACAGCCAATAATTCACGATCCGTTGAATTTGAATTGAATAAGGGTGCAATAAAAAATTGTGCAAATCTTTCATTTCGAAAAATAAAAAAAATGATGAGAATTAGAATAAACATAAGTTACGTAACACAAACTTACACGTCCAACGACTCATATAATTGACTTGGATTAATGTCGTAATGATAGTTCGTATGATCGCCCGATGTATAAGCATTATATTGACCACCATTACTAAGAATTAATTTATCGTACTCATTTTCACCGGGATACTGTAGAACAAAAAAAAATATATTAGAACAGTTTTGTACTCGAAAAGGAATGAATTATTCAATTCATCAGGTATTTGATGGAGTATTTCAAAGTAAAATGGCAAATATGATGAAAAAAAAAACAAAAATTGGACATCATCTTAGTTCAAGATATTCAAGATCTTTTCGTTTAGTTTAACATTATTAGATGAGTCCATCAAATTGCAGGATAGAACAATATTAGTTCTAAAATTTTTAAATATAATTTTTATTTAAAAAACAGAAGTTTTATATGAATTATGTTTTAATTCTTTTGAATTTAGAAACGAATTTTTCTTGACTTTCTATGCGAAAGTGAGTTTAAAATACATTAATTTTCAAATTTTCTTTTAAACATAAAATGACTTCGAAAGCCGGCACATGAGTATGATCCTACTGAATGATTTTCATGTTCGTACACAAGCGATGTTTATTTTTTCACATGCTCTTGGCTATAAAGAGCACTCGAGCTCGACTACTTATGCTCCAAATAGGAGTTCTTAATGTAATTTCTAGACCGAGATATAAACATCACAAATTTCACTTTTATACCGTTATCGTTCTACACTATCTTTAGGGCTTTTACGAAAATTCAATAACTTTTGAAGGGAGTAGGTCAGGGTTAAAACATTTTAGGAATCTTCCTAAATGTACTTCTACTACCTACTGTGAAAGTTTGGCGGAACAATCGGACATTATTTGAGCAGCTTATACGACAAAAAGTTGTCTATATCGTGCAATGGCTCTAAAGATAATACCGCGTTAAACTGCAGAAATTTTACTTAATTGATTAATACATTATTTTATGTAAAACCATATGATCAATCGAATGCAATTTGGTTATTCAAAGATCAATTTAGAGTGCGCTTTAATGTACAACTTTTCTTCTAATATTTAAATGAATCAGATATTTTCTATAGTAAGACAGTTGTTTTTTCTGCAGTCAAGCCTTGATAAAAAAGTTGTCCACTTTTTTCGATCAGAATGATAACAAACAACACTCACAAAATCAAACACCTCAGAAATTGATACATTTAGAATACTAACTTTTTCACTACCCATAAATAACATATGTTCACAAAAATGTGCAATTCCCGGTACTTCATCCGGATCTTGCATACTACCTAGAGAAAAGACAATTGCAAACACATATTTGAAATTACATACATTTTGACTAAACATACCAATAGTAACATCTAGAGCAACAGCTGCTTTATCCATAGTTGGATGGCTAACTAGAACAATTAATAAACCATTTGATAATTCTAATCCACGATAATTCCATGGATCGCAATCACTTTTTCTTATATTATCAACACGACGACGGATAACAGTTGACGGATCCATGCTTTCTGTTATTGTTCTTCAATTATCCATTCAAAAACAGATAAATCAACAAAGGATCATTCTGATATCAAGTAATAAAAATGTGGGTGGACCTGCACTAGTAGCGATAGCCTTCTTATTGATAATCACAGCGGCTTAAGTTTACTGTATGGGTCTCAAAAGGATAAAAAAATATGATTACAATATGTAACTCCCTTACCCCCATAATAGAAGACCATCCATGCAGATGAAAAAAGTCATTCGAGGGGTGAGGCGAGTACTCGTCGAGGGCTCGACTCCTCGAAAAATGGCACTTCGGACCCTCGATATAAGCTTTCGTGGGGTATCGATTTCGAGCTCTCGGATTTTTGATAGGTAGCGAGCCCTCGAGAAAAAGCCGTCGAATAGAGATGTTCGGAACTTCCGAGCCGTTGGTCTCTCGAGGGTGCGACGCACAGTGGGCAACTAAGCGGACATTAGGCCAAAAAGTCGATTTTATCTATCTTGAAATACAAATAGTGCAAAATGTAGCTCTTGAAATTCTCTATCGAATGGTGTATAAACGTCTATTGTGAA